TGGAACTGGTATCTATTTAAACCTTTTAGCTCAACTTTTAAAATGAAAATATCTGTTTTAAAATGTCATTGTCATATACAATATATATGCAATTGTTACATAAAGTCATGGAGAGATTAATAGTTTAATCACATGACTAGTTAGAAAGCAATTTTTTGTAATAGATTAGTTCTAAGGATTTCTTAGTAGGGATGAGAAAATGTGGTTGCATAACCAGAAGTGATGTGGAGGGACAAGCATCAACTGTAATACCAGGGATAGCTTTTGAGCAACTTTATAGTAATTCATCAAGCTTTCTGTTGTGAATAAATGTTTAAAGACCTATTGCTATGTTACGTGAAGGAGAAGAGCTTGTGATATGATGTAGATGCTGGGAATATGTACCTTTCTACAGAAACCTTATCTTTTTTACATGAATGGGAAAAACCTTGAAGTTTTCCTTGGTTCAGGTCATTGTAAGGGAAAGCCCTCTGAATCTTAAATTAACTTTTTTTTTTCTAGTGACCTTGTCACAGAGGAACCATTGCAGAAAACTAATATGTCAAGAAAGCTTTCTATGGCTTTAATGACAATGGAGTGCTCAGAGCTTTACAGGGAAGCATTTGGTCAAGCATTTATACTTTCACTAAGTATTTTAAGCTGGATGAACCATTCTCAGCAGACTTGCCTTGGTGGGGATAAACAAGGATTACTTCTTCCATTATATCCCCTTTTCTGTAATATATACATTTTAAAATGCTGTAGCAGTGGTATTAATTCTTTTTTTTTTTTCTGAAATAGTAGATCAAGTGTTTGTGAAGAGAATATCTCCCTTGTATGTGAGATATCACTTATTAGTCCAGAAGTGTTTTTGGGGAGTAGTTTCAAGCAGTGATGTAGCAAGGAAACAAATCTCTAGATAACTGTTCAAGTCATGTTTTGATTTGGTGATTCTGAAGAATTGTGTACTAAGCAGTGATGTCCATAATCTCACTGTACAATATCTTCAAAAATGCCTATTAAAATGAGGATTTATGAATAGCTAAGGAAGGACATAATTTTCAAGCAAAAACCTTATTATCAATTTTTTTCCTGTTTCTATTGGAAAAGGTCTTTTCTATTAAAAATATATTCTAAATTGGAGATTTTCTTAGTTATACAACACTTTAAGGTAATCTGTAAAAGGGAAAAAAATACATGCTTTTGCTATAATTAACAAGTACTTGTGGGCTAATGGACACCACGGTCAAGAGATGTCAAACCCCATGTCTCAGGAGTTTGAGAAGGAGCTGTTGCACTGCATGGTGTATCTTTACCCACAAAGTAAACCAGAGGTGTAGAGACAGGTAGATGTGCTTTCAGTAATGACAGATTTTAGGAATAGGAACATCCCTTAAATCTTGCATCATTTTGCTCAAACTAATATATATCTGGTGACATTTTGTAATGATGTAATGGTACAGAGGGTACCATTTACCAATAGTGGAGTAGTGTTTGGCTTGAAGTTTAGCTGAGGTGGTAATTTTCGCCATTTTATCCACTTGTCTCCTTCCAGGTCTGTTAATCTGCATCTTGATACTGTTTTTGCAAAGATGCCTGAAGCTTTGCTGTAATTTTGTTTGAGATACTATTTTTGCCATATCCTTTAGACCTGGTCTAGAAGCAGCTTTAATTTGGGGACTTTATCTTCTGTTTTATATGCCATCATCCATAATATTCTGATACCTAATACATTAGAACCTGTGTTAATGCAGAGACAATCCTTGATTTAACACAGGTGATCCAGTGTAGAGTAACATTCATGGTTGGACTGCTTCAATACACTGTTAAGCTGATGCTAGTGAACTCAAGGGCAATTTGGGGTATTTACAGCAGTCTGAAGATGATTGTGCTGTACTTGAGGTGGGTGAGTAAAGAAGGGAGTCTGTCATGTCTCATTCTGAGCCAGAGTTAGTGATTGTGACTGATCTGACTTGAACAGAGCTGCTCAGATGTCTTGTTACTATCCAGTGCATCTAATTCAGAGATAGTTTATAAGGCAGAGTTGAATACTAGACTTGAATTTGTTTGTTTTTTCTTGTGCTCTTGGGACAAATAAACTCTAAATGTGGAGCATGGGAAGCAGCTATGAAACTTGTACATCTGCCAGGTTTATTTGCTTCTGTTTCACCAGCAGACAGGCTGGATTTGCTAGTTTTGAAATTAAAATTTGTCTTACCGAGTGGTGGTTTTGTACGTTTAGGTTTGAGTCCTTCTACTCCTTGATTGCTGGGGATAAAGCAGTGTATAAATAATGCTAGTAACTTAGTGACTGATAGTTTTTGTTTCTATATCTATGAAATATTTCGAAGTAAATCTTTGATGTTTCCAATTTGATGTAAAAGGGAGATAAACCAATAGTTTTAACAAAATGCAGTACCTGTCCAAAGTAAATAATCTGTTTTCTTCTGAAAGGATTCTTTCAATATCATAAATGAGTTTTATTTACAGAATAATCAACTGAAATGTTCCATAGCTTTTTAGCTTTGTGGGAATAAAAATACTTTGACTGTGTTGTAAGCCATTTTTTACTAACCTTTAATGTTTGTGTTTTTAAGCTGCACCTGGAGGTACTGTGCTTTCAAATCAGCAGAATTTCAGACTTACAACACAAGTTTCTTATGCTTCAGACTTGTCAAATCCAATATTTGAAGCCCTGGTGCACAGGAAAGAATAGTTCTGTGGATCTCAGAATGCATTTTTATGTTCATTAAATGTCTAGGACATGTCATCTGTGCAGCTCTTTGTATAGCTGCTGTTATGTCTGGCCTTGGCTCTAGAGATTTCATGGTTTTGATAAGTTGACAACTTTTGGAGGTATTAAAGTTTTAGATTTCCATGGGTCAGGTTTTAGATTTCTGCAACATTAAACTATTTGGCTTTAAAAGAACTAATACAACTGGAATAAAAAGTGTTTATTTTTCTTCTCAATAACTTATAAGGATATTTTAAAGTAAACATAAGTGATCCTAAGTAATGCTTGAAAAACTGAGGTGGTGTTCCACTACTTAAAAGCTTTCATTTGAGCTTAACTGAGGTTCCTTTAATTTAAGGAATTGCCAAGGACTTATTGACTTCTGGAAGTTCAGACTTGTTACAAATAGTTTAAATTCATTTACTTTCCTTAGTTTTATACCTTCAGAAATAATAAAATCAGAAGTCCAAGTTGGAAGGGATGTCTAGAAAACATCTGGACCAACCTTCTGTTGAAATAATGATTGTAAATTAGATTACACAGCACATCATCACTGGCCCTGAGTCCTCAATATCCTCAGCAGTGGAGATTTCTACTTTTGTCCTGGGCAATCTTTCTGATGAATATTTTCCTTGACTGTATCTTAAGAGCTATATGGAAAAAAAAGGGAATATATCTAATAAAAAAGGAAATTAAGGAAATTGCCTGAGAATTTCTTTGTTGCCTGATAATTTCAGAAGACTAATTCATGCAAAGCCTTAAATTTAGTAGGTTCTGTGGACTATAATCATGCATAACCCATTTGCTCAATTGTATCTTGTTCCTACCTCATATCCCCATTGGGAATTGAACATGAAACTGCTAAGAGGAATAAAGTTTTGTCATATTTAGTTGACTTTTAATGCTTGCTTTCCTTTTTTGTCTGAAGCTGAAGGAAATGAATCGGAGCTGTAGACTTTCTGCATCGTAGGGTGAATGCAGCTGGGCCTTTTTTCCATCAGCACTTCAGAGTAGCAATTAAGGATTTTGGGCTACTACTGCCTGAAAGTCTTATCAAGTCTTTTCAAATTACTCTAGATGAATAGGCAGGTCAAAGTAGTCCATACTGGCTCTTAGAGGGACAACTAAAGAACTTACAAACTGTTTCATAAATTGAGACCACAAAGCTTAAGCCTGTTTGCTCTTTAGTTGTAGATACAAGTATAGTGATGTCTTTTTGATATGATTGTGTCACATCAGTTTGAGAACTCAGCCTTCTAATCCATTGTTACCACTTTTCTATCATTGTTTGTCATGGGGTAACACCTTCTTTGACCTTCGTTTTCTGATTAACATACCTGTACAAGCCTTTTCCGTTACTTTGTGTTCCTTGCCAGGTTCAGTTTCAGCTTAGCCTTGGCCTTTCTCACCCCACCCCTACAAAACTAGACTTCTCTACACTCTTCCCAGGTACCCTGTCCTGGTTTCCACTGTCTGTGCATTTGCTTCTTGGCCTTTAGTTTGACCAGCAGGTCCCTACTGAGCTGTGATGGTCCCTTGCCTTCCATGCCCAATTTTTTGCTCCTGGGAATTGCTGGCTCTTGCATTCTCTGCAAGTCTTTCTTAAGAATCTGCCAGCTCTGTTCCACTCCCTTGTCCTCAAGGGTGATCTCCCAGGGGATCCCAGTGACTAGCTCCCTGGAGAGCTGGAAGATGCTTTCCTAAAGTTCAGGGGCCCATCTTTATTCCTTACATGATCCATGTCCTACAGGACTGCAAATCCCACCAATGCATGATCCCTGCAGCCTGGGCTGCCTCCAGTTTTGGTGTCCCCAGGTATCTCACTCACACTGGTGACCATCAGATCCAGTATCACATCTCCTCTGGTAGGGCTGTCTACTGACTCGAGTTAGGAGGTTATCCCCCATCCATTCCAGGAGTCTCCTGGATTGCCTACAGGTCATCATGCTGCTTTCCCAGCAGGTGTCAAGGTGGTTGAAGTCTCCCAGCAGGACAAGAGCCTGTAGGTGCAATGCCTCCTCTACCTGGAGGAGAAAGGCTTGGCCAACAGGTTCCCCTGGATCTGGCAGTCTGTAGTAGACACCAGGTTATCTTTGAGTTCAGGTGCTTCTGTGTTTCTCTGATGGAGCCACTGACATTCCTTTAACTGTACTACATGATTGTACTTTAATGTCTTGATTTATCATCTAAGTGTTGTTTACACCTGTTGTTTTAGCACAGTATTCCATTTTGCATATTAATTTATGATTAAAAATCTAATGAGCTTAATGTTTTTGCTTTCTTACAGTTCAACTTTGTGGGAAAACTTTTGGGCCCCCGTGGTAATTCTCTAAAGCGTTTACAGGAAGAAACGCTGACAAAAATGTCTATTTTGGGAAAAGGTTCTATGAGGGACAAGACAAAGGTAAGAGCTCAGTACATCAGTGGAATTTTGTAGCTTAAATTTTTGAGGAGGGGAACAAACCCTGTAACAAAAATTGGAACAAATGAAAAGTATGGGAGATCCTAGTATTGTTTATATGTAGATGAAACCTGTTTCCTGAGGAGTCTGTTCTCACTGAGTATTTTAAAGCTACCATGAGTTGTATTTAGGCCCCCCAAACTGTGGGCTTTGAGGATATAAGTGGGGCTTTCCCTGTAGCATGTTCTGCATTGGTCTCATACAACTGATAATGAGCAATGCCCAAGTGAACATGGCAGTGTTCTCACTTTGGAGGGAACCTGGCTTCTAAACAGATTTTTAACAAACATTTTCAGATAAAATAACACTTAACCTTTAAATTTAGTAACATTTAATAGCATTTCTAAACAAAAATAAAATAACTGATGAAAGCAGCTAAAATACAACTGGAAAAATTCACAGCTCTGGAGATGACTTATGCATTTTAAGCAGCTGACAACTTGCAACTGTTTCTATGGGAATATTCTATTTGGTTGTAGTGGAGCCAAAGTAAACAGCAGAACAGAAATCTTCAGCTTATAGGTGTTTGTAGTAATAGCTTTCACTCTTTACTTAAATCTCTGGCTAAATTTGTAGCAGGTAAGTGTCCATCAGTAAGGAGATGTCACATGTCTAGTAAACTGCGTTGTTTAATTGGAACATCCCTGATGATAGCAATAAAAACACTGAACATATTTCTTGCCTCCAGCATGTCATGTTTTATAGGCTTCGAGTGAAATACCTATGTGGTTATGTAATTTGAAACTTAAAAATACTGTGTGATATGAAGACTGATAATGGCATTCATGTAGAGAGGGACTTAGAGGACTGGCTACTGAATTGCTTAAACTATATAATTTTTAGCACATTTCTCCATCAGCAAAATAAAAATGTTATGTGATCTATAGAGTATTTATCAAGAAGTTAATCAGAGTCCATAAATTACTCTGTTCTGTAAAACTTGGGCTATCTCTTCCTTTTAATTACTTCTTAAATATTTTTATTAAATATAAATGAGCTAAATATAGTTTGTGTATATAAATACATTCTTCTACAGTAAAGGCTAGAAAATCTAGGGATACAGCTAATGCAACTTCAAGTGTTTCACAATTAGTTATTGAAAACTATATTGCTACTACCTTTAAGAAGAAATTAGACAGTTCATGGAATCTCCTACAAAGGTCCAAGCTTTGACTGAACACCAGCTTGCCAACTAAGCCATAGCAGCAAGTGCCATCCATCTCCAGTCATTTCTTGAACACTTCCAGGGATGGTACTCTACCACTTCCTTGGGCAGCCTGTTCCGATGCTTAACCACCCTTTCAGTTCAGCCAGAGAAAGATGTAAACTAAACTTGCTCTAAGTATGACAAACTAAGTATTCAGATTCTGGTTTAAGTGACAGCTTGTAAACTTTCTCACTCCTTGTGGACTGTGTCAAACTGACGTTCTGTTGCTGCATTACGTGTTTCTATACCAAAATGCGATGTCATGTGGAGTAGAAAAGCCTCTGAGTGTTTTTTAATGGTTCTGCAACATAAAGTTTCTTTTGAATAAAAGCAGAAGCTCAAATTGAAAAGTTCAGATCCTAACTTGGGCCTCAGAATCCTGGAGAAGAGTCTTAAATGTTTCTATCATTTGAGCTTCTCTTGTATCCTTTGGTAATGAAGAAATTGTCCAAATTTTTGACTTTCTCGTGATTGTGATGCCAGTTAAAACTGCTTAAGTAATTTTTTTTCAAATTAAGTGGCTAATAAGGGCACTGAGTCACATCTTTATAAATTTCCGAACATGTACTATTATAACTGCTACGTGACCAGTTTTAGATGACTAGTGATTATTACCTCTTTCCTGAGGGAAGGTGGCAGTGAGCTTCATAGACTTCTCTAAGCTAAATTTCTGAATGCTACCTTTGTAAGGTTTTTTAAATTGTAAAAGAACCTCAAAGGCTTATGGAAGAAAGAAAATTTATGTGAAAGGTTGATACAATGTAGCAAAGATCACTACCTTTTGCAAGTTGTCTAGGAAAAAAATAGGTAAACCAGAAAAACAGATATAGATAAGCCAATCTGAGGACCATCTCACATATCTATTTGTGATATACAGTGTCTGAATTCAGTAATTCTTCTCTTCTATGCTGGCAGTTCTTCGTTAGCTTTTCTTTAGTCAGTGCTGAGACACCTTCTCTTTGGCACCACAGGCATTCATATGCCTATAGGAGAGTGAAAAAGTCTGACTCACTTCTGAATTTCTTTATTCCCTTATAAGATTGCTTTTATGTTGTAACTCTGCAGGAATAACTTAAACTCTCCACCCCAATTGGTTATTCAAGTGTTACCAATAGTTTGAGACTGGTGTAGGCCTTTCAACAACTTGTGTATTCTGAATGGTTTATAAAATCTGACAGAAGCCATGTTTAAGGTAACATTAAAAATAGATATCAGGCAGTACCTATAGAAATTTAAAACCTAAGTCAAAGACAGTCTAGTGAAGATAAAGGACAGTACTATGATCATACTTTGATAAATGCTGCTACTCAACTTCTGGTTCTTGATGGCTTGTCAAGGAGAGTGAAAAGCAAGAGAGTCTGTAGGTACAGTAAAATAGTGCTAGTACTCTGCTTTGTTCTGGACCATGAAGATATACCAAGAAATACAGGAGCACAAGGTACAAAGCAAATAGGGTAAGATTGCTGTGGGGTAAGCTTTCTCATAGGACTCCTAGAGTGCAATACTGCAGAGATGTGTCTGTACTGAAACTTGAAGTTAAATCAGATTGAGCTCTTTGGTGTGATAAATTTGGTGCAAGAAAATGGAGATTTAAAGGACAGATTATAAAAAGGGAGGTGGTGGTCTTGTTGTCTTTTATCTCCCTTTTTCCATATCTGGTTCTTTCATCCTTTCAGCAGCTCTCAAATGCCCATGGCAGTAGAATTAAAATAATACCTGTCTTGACCAGCCAAGCAACATCCACAGGCAGTGGGCAAACCAAGCCAATGCAGGTACTGCCAAGTGATGGCAGGCAGAGGATTTTGTGGGAGCTAAAAATGCTGTCAGAGGGGGATACTGGAGTGGGAACAAGTTGTGGCTTTTTTGTTGGTCATCATGGGAAATAAAAAAAAACCCCTGAAGTACTTAATGTGTCCTCAAGGTTAGGAAATGTAAGCCGATGAGTGAACTCACTCTCATTTGTGTGCTGTTAAGAGCTGTGGAGAGTAGTGTGCTCATAGAATCACAGGATATCCTGAGTTAGAAGGTACATGGATCATCAAAGTCCAACCTCTGGCCTTGCAAGTAATTGAGGAAGTAATGGAAGTGTTACCAAGTTATGCTACAGAACTAAAAAAAAAATACATTAATCAAAGGGAACTTTGCAAAAAAAGGATAAAATTACTTTAAAAGTTTGCTTATGGGCATGATTTCAGAAAAACCTGCATTGAAATTTCTTATGTTTTGTCAGAGTTGCTGACTTAAATGTTTTTGTTACCACAGGAAATTGTAACTTTTCTATTGCTTATTGCTGTTATCGGGCAAGTTGATTGATAAGCACAGGAGGGAAGTTTCTTAGCACTGTTTTCTGCACAAACTGCACAGTAATTTTTTGGGGTTTTTTTTTGCCTTTAGGAAAAAGGAACAGGGAAGGCTTGATGCAGGTCTATGCAAAAAAAAAAGTATGTAGGGAACTCAACTGATGAAAACATCTAGCTTCCAGTGCTAGAAATGCCTCATGTTTTGAGTAACTGTGCTTAAATTATTTGAGAAACAGTTCCCATTGAAACTAAATATGTGAGCTGTGATGTTTATATTAGGTTATTTCCTGTTTTTAAGATCTGTTACTTGTATTGACAAAATAATGGTTTTGCTGATAGTCTAATCCTGCAGAGTGACCTCTTAATATTCTTGCTGTGGGTGCTTTAACCGCAAACTAGACTTTTTTTAAATATCCTCATAGTTAAAGATGAATCATGATGACAGGAACATTGTTTATGAGAAGCAGAAATGAAATCACATGTAAACCTCAACCCATAATTAAGGGGTGTGCAGGGGAAGAGATTTCAACTATTGCTGTAGCTATAATATTAGCAATCTAAAGGGTGAAGTGCTTACCTAGTGCTTGCTAAAGACAGTGAGCTGTAGGGGAGCTTCAGTTTTTTAGACAGTGGAACTGGTAAGTATTTGATGTAATGCTATCTGGTAAAGCAATGAAATTATTTCTAATGGTGGTTTTATCTCTTGGACTTATCAGATACACAGGGGCAGCCCAGAGACTAGCTAATTATGTCCTTTCGGTCTGTGAGCATTTTGCATTTGTATTTGAGAACTGAGCTCTGCTCCACTACATTGAACTCAGAGCTTCTCAGTCATTGAAGTGGGTTGGGTGAAACAGGATAAAAGAAATAAGCTCTCTTCTGAAATAGCCAGTGAACTCTTCTTGCTAGTGTCCTCTTCCCTTGTCTCATATGCTGTTAGTTTTATATCCAAGTAGCACAGTTCTGTGCTCTCATGGGATAGAAATTTCAGTGAGAACAGAAAATAAGTATCAGAGCAGTGTAGTAATACCAAGATTGAAATAATTTTGGTAAAAGAATCTTAATTTTATGGAATATCAGGTCAAACCTTTTTCTGGAGACTTTACTTTTAAGAAAAGAGGCTTCAAGTTGACTTATGTTTTTCAGTGTCTTCTATGTGAAACTGGTGCACTTGAGAAAACACCTGAGAGCATTCTCCCTTGTGATACAGTTTCTTTATGTGAACAGAAGTTGAGTCTTATTTCATGTTACTTTTTTATTTGTAGACATCTGAACATGGTGAATAGTGTCTGCAAATTCCTCTGAACAGCTTTAATACTTGCATTACTATGTTTTAAAATAAGAAGGTATAAAACCAACCTTTTTTCTTATCTTCTAGGAGGAGGAGTTGAGAAAAAGTGGAGAGGCAAAGTATTTCCACCTAAATGATGACCTGCATGTTTTAATTGAAGTATTTGCTCCCCCTGCTGAAGCATATGCCAGAATGGGACATGCACTGGAAGAAATCAAGAAGTTCCTCATTCCTGTTAGTATTTTATTTTTTTTATGAGAATTCTGGTAGTCTTGAGTGAGAAATGTTATCTCTAAAACTGAGCAAGCTGGTCTAGTGGGGTGAGGTGGTGGGGGGGTTGGAACTAGTTAATCTCAAGGTCCCTTCCAACCCAAACCATTCTATGAACAGTGCACAGTATTGATCAGGTCATGTTACTTAATTTCCTTCATTTATGAAAGAAATGGTGATGTTTACAAATAGTTTTCATTTTGATATAGACAGTTAAAGGGTGAATCTGTAACATGAGTGTCCACACACTCATCTCATGATATGACCTGTAGTAAGAAAGCAACTCATTCTTGCTTAACTGGTCATGTGCAAAATATCTAAATCTAAAAATAATTGTGAGAACATGCAAAATGTGAGGCTTTTCTATGTTCTTGGCACATGGGAAGCGTCAGCATAGGGTTCTATTACACTAAGAGTGAATGAATTTGAAGTTGTAGTGCTTCTCACTCGTGATCCTGGTTTAGTGTTCAGTGATGAGAATCAATACAATTTTATCTTGTATCTTTATTTTTATTACAAAGCTAGTGATATTGGAGTTATACTTGTCTTCTGGTGTATACTTCAGCCATGTATGGATGTACAAAATGAGATCCAATTTCCAGTACAAGTTTGTACTCCAGGTTTGGGATATATCTAGGTGATTGGTTTCTAGCGTCTTTCTGCAGAAGAAACTTTACTTGCTTCTCATGTAAGGATCAGCTTCACTGCTTTGCAGTATTAAACTACTTGGATCAATCCAACCTGTCTTAGGAAGCTGGGACACTTGAGGTGATGTTACTCTGTGAAGTTCCTAACTATTAGCTCTTCAGTGCACATTCTTCAGTCTTTATTGGTGATTAAAGGAATGAATATAGAAAGCAAAGCTTTCTCAAGGTACATCAGCTTTTGTTTATTTTTACTGCTGGAAATGTTATCCAAGTGTCTTGATTTGTGTCACATCTTGCAAGTGTGGGAGACCTGGCTAAGGAAACTTTACTAAGGCATATATCAGTATATAAATGTTTGAGTGGAATCAGTGCACGTGTATTGGATACTGTTGGGGATGTCTGTTGTACAGCCACTGCAGCCTGTTGGATAGAAGTGATAGCTGTATTCTAGGGTGGAGCAGTTGGTGCTGATGACCCAACAGTGCTCCTGTGTGCATTTTGAGGATGGTAGTTTGTACCTAACCTAGTTTAGATCCATGTAACCACACCGAATGTTTAGGCACTGGAATAGGCTTCCCAGAGAAGTGATCACAGCACCAAGCCTGACGGTTCAAGGAGCATTTGGACAATTGCTCTCAGGCACGTGGTGCGATTCTTGGGGTTGTCCTGTGCGAGGCCAGGAGTTGAACTTAGAGATCCCTGTGGGTCCCTTCCAACTCAAGATATTCTATGAAACTAAGTCCCCAGGTGACTGGATTTGTGGGCTCCTGGAGTGTTTCTTCTGACCTGTTTTTGTCTGTATGAAAGATAGTTCATATGCCCCAATACTATGCCATGGCATGATCCAAAGAAGTGATGATCATCAGGAGGTTCATTAGGAATACATCCTGGTTAGAATTAACAGTAATGTAGATGCACCTTGAGACAATCCAAAACCAAAGAGATGTCCTGGGCATTATGTTCTCATTTATAAAGAATCAAGCACCACATTGTAACTTAGTCTGCAGGTTCCAAACACCTTTTTTTGTGATGTGTATGACAAGATGTAAATAAGCACACTATTATTCAGACATCCTAACTGATTAGATAGGGGATACTTGACAGAGTATTTGTAGGAATGCTGGGCTGTCAAAGGTTGCTAGTGTCAAAGGTTACTGTATTTACATGATTCATGGTTTAATGGTGTGAAGAAATAAGGGAGATTTAAGTTCTTGGTTATTCTAGTGAGCAAACGACTACTTTCTTTTTAGGTGGAAATATGCTCAGTTTGATAAGTGCTTTTGCATGTGCTGGAAGTAAGGATATGTCTGATCCCCCTGCCCCCTTTCATCAGAGATCTTATTTTTCTTCATTGGGCTTGACCTCCCTAATGTTGTCATAAATGAAGTAAGCTTATCAAAACCTGGTTGTTACTGTGCTAAGCCAGGAGAATTACAGACTGATAATGAGCAATTCCATTTGCTGGGTGTGCACTTTTCCATCTCCATTTTTGATCATTGCCACTTTATTGTACTGAGCTGAATTGATGCTGTGTAATCTTTTCTGAACTATGGGATCAAGCCAACACTGTCTTAATTTCCCTTTGGCTTTTCAAATGTAATCTTATCAGAATGGCTCTAAATGCCTTAATCTCTTCTGCCTGGACCCCCCTGCGGCAGCCACTGAAGGAAGCAATAAGGAGCAGCTTTTTCCTTTCTAGAACTACTGTCTGATTTAGTGATGAATTCAACTTGATTTTATTTTCTATGAGGTCTGTAGTAGTTTTCTTAAGAAATTATTTGGTTTAGTTCAGACAAGTCCTGCTAGGAGTACATATGATTATGATCCTAATTGGTATTCTCCTTACAATGTAAGCTAACTATGCCTTCCTACAGTTTTAAATGCTGGCCGTACTTCATGAATATGGTTATTGTTCTGTTTACAGATCAGTCCTGAAGATAAAATCACATTTGGTGCTAGAATGCAGGACACAAAATATCCTTGTGGTAGATGATTATAGCAAAAATGCTTCAGCTGCTCTTACTGGATCTTTGGATGCATAGTTAAGCACCTTTGCATTGAAGTTCAGCCTCAAGCAGCTGCAGTGGTTTAATTTCCTTTAAACTATTGACATAACTCAAACCAAAACACTGGAGTTTTTTGGCCGTACTTATGTTGCCTTGACTCTCACCAGTCCTCTGCAGGTAGAATTGTGGCTTCTGACTTCAAGTATATTATTTGTCTTCCTTTAAATTAGCCAATCCCTTTGTTATGGCCATACCCTCTGGTCAGCACCCTGTTTCACTATTATATTAGTGAGTGTTCTACTTGATATTAATTATCTCAGAATTACTTCTGTCAGGACAAAAAGCCAGGTGCTTTCAACCTCACCTCCCCCTGGTTCCTGAATTATACCATGATTTCAAGGCCAGGTTGAGTGGAACCCTGAGCAACCTGGTCTAATGGAAGATGTCCCTGTCCATGTCAAGGAGGTTGGAACTAGATGACCTTTAAGGTCCTCTCCTTCCCAAACCATTTTGTGATTCTATGATTACTGCAGTTGTGGGCATTAGAACTTGCCTTAGTCTATTTTGTGGTTTGTTTTATTATTTTAGACTATTGCTTGATTTTTGAGTAGTGGTTGCCATTTCTTTTGACAGCTGCAGCACTAATTTTCTTTTTCCATTAGCTGCCAGAATTATTTTCCTTGTCTTTAAAGCAAAGTATAGAAGATATGTCTTTGAGAGAACAATATTTAGCAGTTACAATGACAAATCACAAGTTTTTCCAGTTGTCTGTTTACCTTCTGCATATTGGGTTTGTATGATGTGATGATGAAATATCATTTAATGGCATTTGGATGAGCTTGGTGACCTTTGGGAACTCTCAGACTTTTCCTTAAGCAACCTGGCAAATAACTGCAAGGTGTAAAAAAAAAAAAAAAAAAGTAGCTGGAAACTTGGTAACAGTTGATTGCTCACTGCCAGGGTAAAGATCTACTTGAGGGTTTTGCAAAGCTGCAAAGGGTTTTGTAGGGATCTGTCCTAACATTATATAAAAACAATGGGTTTGCTAATAGTTTGAGTGATAGATCAAAATAAGGTCTTAGGTTAGTGATCCCAAGGAGAGCAGCTACCAATGTGTTGATCTGTCTGGATAAAAATTGTAGATAAAACTTAAAAGAATGTTGTTTAGTTGGATCATGTAAGTAATTCTGTCTGGGATGAAAATCTCTTACATGTGTCTTGATGTAGCCATTCATACACCCTCCACATTTGTGGAAGACTGTATTTAGTCAGAATGGCAATGTGTTCATAAAATGAGAATACATCTGTTCAATTGAAATTCAGCAGCAGCATTAGACTGAAATTCAAGTGCTGCCACTGCTGAAACTGTACAGAGGAGGAGTGCAGTCTGAAGAGTTTCCATGTCCATCTTCTAGGTGAGAGAAAGATTGTCTCCTTAATTTGACTTGAGTTGTACTGTTTTCCAGCAGAGAGTATTCATAAATTGACCATCTGTTACTTTTAATTGAAGAATCCATTTCAGAGTCTAATGGTTTAACATTGCTGCTTATCGTGGCTTCCTCGTACTGCCCCTTCGCTCCATATCCTCCTGCTGCCTCTGGCATGTGTGATAAGGACCATATTTTCTGTTCTGTGCTTTGCACAGTGGAGCCCTTGTCTGTGACCTAAGGCTGCTGTGCTAGTAATGTGCTGCAGGAAAATGAGAGCATCAGGGAGAAAAGCAGAAAAAGGACCCAACATGCACAGTGGCAACCCAGGCACATCTTTGCTAAGGAATTAAATGAAATTAATATAAAACGATCGAAGGTATTTTTCCAGGAGTCCAATTCTGAAGAGGACATTTTGTGGAGAAGTTATAAAGAGCATCTCTGATACAGACTGCCAGAACTTGGGTACCTGTATGTTGGTGGTACACTTCCTTGGCATTTTTTGTCAAGATCAAAGTTTTGTTCCATACATTAAATAGAATTTTGCATTTGTAGACAGTTCTAATCCAGCAACAAATATAAAATGGGTTTCTGCACACTAGTTGGCCAGAAGAGTGTTCAGCTTCCTGTTTCTAATCTACTCTCTTCAATGAATTGGTTGGGTATTGGGTCCCAGCTGTTTAATAATGGAATTGGTTTCTCAAAAGCTTCAGTTATGCCATTTGAAACAGTTAATTCAGTCTTTGAGACCTTTTTCTTCATATTTGCTAGTTGATTTCTGCTGCTAAATAGGAGATAATCTCAGGTGGGCAATTGAAGTTAAATTTCAGAAGCTGTTCAAGACAGCTTGGACAAAATGCTATTAAAGTGCCACTTTTAACGCTAGTAACTACCTTCAGCAATGACATTGGAAGGAGAACTTTCTTATTTTTGTTTGTAGAAATCTAGGAGAAGAAGAATGTTTCAATGAGATATTTGAATTCATGGAAGTTTTAATCTCCTTTCAATTCAGGATTATTACTTCCTGACAGTCTTTTGGTACCTGTGTAGTGAATAAATGTAATAAACTCAGATTTGTATTTAGATGCAGATTCTTTGTTTTGCAATTGAATTGAAAAATGGGTAGTATTAGAGCAAACCTTCTTTCTTGAGATGGGAGGATTTGCAGAAGGTAAGGGCTTTGTATCAGAAGTATCACTCCATTCCTATGGGAGGACCTATTAATATTTTGATAGTTTATATGTATGTACATTCAGTAAGATATTTATTTGATTCACCTTTATGGGTACTTTTTTTTGGCTCACTTGAAGCAGAGGATAAATGATAGAAAAATGTGTAGCTCAAGTGTTCAGTGCTGCATCTGTTTTATTCCTGTGGGATGTACTTGTCTTGGAGGTTGGCTCAAGGTCCCTGAAAGCTGCGTGTTTGACAAGTACCACATTAATTCCATGTATAAAAACTTGAACTTTCTTTTTTCTAGACCTTTAGAATAGAGGTTTTGTGCAGACAAATAAGATATATGTCCTCAGCTTCTTTACTGTTGCATATTATAGAATTTAATTTTTGAGCTCTTTTGTAGATAATGTTGCATGTGTGTATTGACTGAATGTCCTTGTTTGTTCTTTAACTCCTGATTTTAAAGGTGTGGATATTTAATCTATTCCTTCATTTTCATGGGCTACTCTCAACAGTGTACTTATTCTTTATTACTTTGCATCACCAGGCACTGGGATTTTTCCTGCTCTTAACACACAGTCATTCTACAGCTGGAACTACAAACGGGATCTCAGTTCAGAATATCAGACCTTGATTTTTTTTTGTTGTTTCATCCTATCTCTGCAGTATTCTAACATTAGCATTTTAATTGGTAAAGCTATATAGAAATAATATACAAAAGGAAAGAAACACATACCTGAGCAAAAATGGCAATTAAAATGTAGAATTTTTAAGTTTTGTGACTGAGTAATATTCCTATCTTATTGTGCATGTTAAACTTTTTCAGTGGGATGTTCAACTTTTTAAGAGGAAACTTTCAGGAGCAGTGTTTGCTGGGAGTGGTGGGTGAACAGTTTGGTTTTTTTCTCACTCTCTCCCCCCTGTTTTAGGACTACAATGATGAAATCAGACAGGCACAGCTTCAAGAATTGACATATTTAAATGGTGGTTCAGAAACTGCAGAAGTTCCAGTCGTTCGTGGAAAAGCATCTATTCGAGCAAGAGGAGTGCCAGTTCCTGCTTTGTCCAGGTAAATGGAATTTCATTGGTATGCACATATGTTAGGCTTCTCCCTTGAAACACAATTTCCCCCAGAGTACAGCAGTAAAATACAGGAAGGACTCCCAAAAGAAGAGTTTAAAAAAATCAGGGAAACAACCTTACTTTATTTAATGAGTATGGACTAAATTAACAGTGGTTTTGGGTTTTGTCTTGACATTGGAATGCTGCCTTTGTTAAACAATGTACATCATCCAAGGTGTTCAACCTTACTGTGAGCATCTTGACTTGCAACCTTGAGTTACTCCTTAGGTGCATGTGGGGTCTGTCTTTGGGCCCTGTGGAGTTCACTGCTTTGAAAAACCGGTAAATCTCTCTTGATTGACATATGAATTTCATACAATATCTCTAACAGAATATATGTATTCCATTTTTACTGTATTGCTAAGTTTTCACAGTCATGATGAAATGATAGAGAAGTGCTCTGGAGTCTGAGTGGCACTTACTTTTGTGAAAAGTGGCGCTTGTTTGATTCAGGAATAGGCCAAGTCTGCTGCTTTTGCTTTGTTTTTCTTTGTCACAGGAAATGTTTTACTCTTACTCCAGCATCCCCTTTCTTCCTTGCAGTACTGAGATGACAGTTTCAACTCCTTCGAGTCCTGAAATGTGAAAACAAAAACTAAATAAAGTTCATAACTGTTCGTGTTACAGTACAGAATTTGTGGTTGCAGCAGCTAAGTGTGACTGTTTCCTATAGCAAACTATTTTCTTCAGTTGTGGCTACAGTTTCTGTTATTGCAACTTGAAACTCGCATTTCAGCTTCTAAAATAATTAAAATATAATACTCTGAAGTGTTTTACCTCATGATAAAAGCATGTTAGAAGAACCAGCACTAAGGAATTACTCCATTTATACAGTTCTGCCTAGTTACGTGTATCCTGGTAATGATTGCAAATGCATTGCCGAGTGAATCTTAATTCCAAGAATTTATATGTGCTGTAGGTCATGTCCTGTGAGAAAAAATTTCTCTCAATCAACAAACTTTTGTTCTTGTATTAAGTAATACTGTGTAATGTATATATTCTGCTTTTCTTGATTTTGATGTTCTGAGTAGTGGTAATTACATACCAAGTTTCACCTCTTTATCGCTGTAATCAGCTAAAAGTACAAAAGTACTTTCAAATTAGAGACCTCATTTGATTTTTGGAGATTTTTTTTTTTTTTGCAAATTTTATTTCAGTTCTTAACTGTTTGTAACTTGGCCGTAGATGCCTGTAATGGCTCTGCTACAGGTACATTTGCAGTACTATTTCAAGTTTGTTTTATTTTTCATGTCCTTCAGCTATTTCTGCGATACCGAAATTGTTTGGTCTGATCTTATTGCTAAAGCTTGATATAACTAATTTCCTGCTAGTACTTAGTATGTGCAAATGTAAATAACTTTTTATAGTACTGCATTTCTAACATGGCTAGTTCTATCCTCTGGATTTTGGGAAATTATCTTTCCAAATCTGCATTTTTAAGTAAGAGGTACATACTGTTACATAGTTCACAGTATGCCTCGTATTTGACCTACAATAATTATCTTCAGGGTAAATTTAAGTGTTATTAGTCTTTGGTTTGGATATGACAGTAAAAGGTTGTGGTTTTGTCATTGCCATTTCTCATATATGTTCTAAAGAAAAGGGAAAGGATATAGGTTTGTTTGACTTGTCCTTGCTTCAAGGCTTGTCTTAAACTCCTAGACTTTCTGCCCTAAAATTGAAGCTGTTATCATATTCCTGAAATGAAATTCAGTGCTGTTGCTACTCAGATTCTACAGCCATTGAGCTGAAGATCTCAAACTCAGTTATAATGCTCTGATTCTTTTTTAACAGAAATGGATTTCAGTGAGTAATACTTTTGTTGAAGCAAAGCTTTAAAGGCTTTGTCTCAGTGTTGGATAGAACAGTTTCAATAGAAAACATCTCTGAGATATCCAGGAGAGGCTGAAGCAAAGCCCTCAGAAAACTAGTAAAATGAAGTCTAAAACCTTGATCCTAACCTTTCTTTGTAATCCAGGGAATGGTTCTAAGATACCAACCTTGATATGTGAAACATCCTGTTGAGGATGCAATATGAGTGTTTAAGTTCACACATTTTAAGCCTTTATTACTCCTGAATAGTTTCACTTAAAAAAAATACTAAGCCATGCTTTTTTTCCTCCTTGTCAGACATGTTGAAACTGGAGATAATGCATCTTATCAAATCTGTTTTTAGCTGCATGACAAAATTTTATTTTGTGGGAAACAATACGTTTTTGCTTGCATACAAAAATTTAAACTTATGCACGGATATTCCTGTATGGGGTAAATAATTTATTTCCTAATGACTGTGGTTTGGTAACTCTTTATACTTTCTCTGGCTTGTTCCAGATTTTCTTGACTAAATTTTTATGACTCCAGGGCCAAGTAAGGTTTTGAGTGTGAGTCAATTGAATTTGTTCTAGAAGGGCTGTGTGTGTGTTTATGAGCTTTGCCTTTAGCAATGTTCTTTTCTCATAATTGATCTTGGATCTTCTTCCTTCTCCCCTGCCTTGCCCCACAGTTTTTGTCCCTAATGCTGATAAAGATGACGTTCAGATGTAATCAAACACTTCTGTTTTCTGTAGTGTTTATGCTGAGCACTTAACCTATTTTAGCATACCTGTTTCTTCTGTACAAGAAGAGGGGAAAGTGGGGAAAGTCTGGGTTTCATTCCTTTGTGTTTATTATAAACTGACGATGTTCTTAAATTTTTGTTGCTTTTTGGGGCAACTATTTTAAATGATCATACTGGCTGCTTTTTAATTTATTATGGTAGCAAACTTAGAGGATCCATGGTGTTTAATGTGGTGCTGTTATGGTGAGAAGCTAGAAAATGTAACTCTTTCAGAGTCAGTGTTTCTTTAATGCATTTTTATTCTCATCCTGAATCAGTGCAAAATAAATAACACAACCAAAATGTAATTTGAGACTTCTGATTAAGTAAAGACTCAAAATAGACATATGTTATCATAGTGGAAGATGTCTCTGCTCATGGCAATTGGGTTGAAACTAAATGCTCTTTAAGGTCCATTCCAACACAAACCCTTCTCTGATTCTATACATGATAATGTACACCTCTAAGGACGTTTTGCAACAAAAGTAACATTTCCTTTCAGAAAAGTCCCGTTTGTATTTTAAGAACAAAAATAAGACTTAAGGATCCCTCAATTGTGACTCCGTCCAAGATGTCTTAGAAAAGTGAAATTCTAGAGGATAATAGTAAGTCTAAGAATGTGGCTAAAGGTTCCTTGATACATTGGGGTGGCATATGGGGAACCAATTCATGTCACTCTACACCTAGAAATCACTGCTAGAATCACACAGTGGTTTAGATTAGAAGGGACCTTAAGGATCATCTAATTTCAGCCTCCCAGTCATGGGCAGGGACACCTTCCACTAGACCAGGTTGCTCAAAGCCCCTTCCAACCTGGCCTTGAAAACTTGCCGGGATGGGGCATCCAAAACTTCTGTGGGCAGCCTGTGCCAGTGCCTCACCATCCTCATCATAAATTTGTCTAATCTAAACCTGCCCTCTTTAAATTTAAAGCCATTGTCCCTTGTCCTATCACTATGGACCCTGATAAAACATCTCAATCTTTCTTCTAAGCAGCCCCCCTTCGGTATTGAAAGACCGCAATGAGGGAGAGCTGCCTGACTTCACAGATTGAGAGGAATTGTATTTGAAAACAACTATTTTCGTTTCACTGTGGTGAGGGGAGAAGAAAGTAATTTGTCTTAAAGCAAACATCTAGGAATAGTTTCATTAAAGAAATGGTGAATTTCTGGTTTATGCTCTCATGAGAGTGTGGAGGTTTTTTACTTTTCCCATTTATTCTTAATCATATCTCAGTATATGCATGGCTGGGATCCTGGTGGTTGAATGACTGTCACTTGGTCTGGGGAAAAATAACTTAAAGGAGGTGTAAGTTAGAACTTGTCTTACATGTTAGAAGTAAGATGAGCTGATGTGGATCACTGCTGCGGTGTGTTCACAAATTCCAGCTGTTCCCCTGCCATGTGTCTGGAATCAACTAGTTTCTTTTTTTGAACAAAACCTTTTGGCGTATAATATGTAAGTAGTGAAATGCAAAAGGTCTGTAGCACAAAAGAAATATTTGACAAAGCCAGTTCAGGATCTAGGCCAAAGGCAGGTATTAATGTTCACTGTGTTTTGTTTTAATTTTGTGATCTCTCATCTTCCACAAAATTGAAACATAAACAAATATATGTTTTCAAATAGAAGTATGAAATAAAGCTTTCATGGTGACTCATTTAAAAAAAAAAGTAAGGCAGAAATACAAGTTCTGAGTTGTATCCAGGTATCAGTGTTTAATATTTTAAATTGTCATCACCAAAATAACAGGTCTGTTACTTTTCAGATGTCTAATATAAAACCTAAACAAAAATATTTGCTGTTTAGGGAACATTAAATGTAGCTGACTGTGCTCAAAGGAAGAAAATGTATCAACATCTGGTAACCAAGTTTGTTTATTGAACACTCTAAATCCCTGCAGATGTTATAGAACTGTGAATGCTAAAATTAAAGAATTCCAAGTGTTTCCTCATTGAATAATATAGTGTTAGGGAACTTCTAAATTTTACAAGTATTTTTATTTTAAAGCTGTTTTTCCATTTACTACTTCTGGGAGGAGATATTGAAAAGCATCTTCATAAATTTTTGTTTGACTGAAATGAAGTGAAGGAAAGCTGCAAACTGACTCCAGCTGTGATTTTATGATCGGAGTAATTTTACTAACTTAAATATCCAGTGAAAGGTGAAACTTGAAATAAAAATCAGTATGATTTTAGAGCGAAGAAAGTGATATATGAAAAGATAAAGCAGTTGTTGCTGAGGGCAACAACTGGAGAGTAGTATCGGTGGGATGCTTTACCTGCTACTGTGGTCAAGGGCAGTAACTTAGTTTGCTGGAAACAAATCCTAGAAACTTCGTGCGGCAGGAAAGC